ACAATTTTCTTCCTGGATGTCCTCACTGATACCCTTATCTTTGGTCACTTTTGGTTCAAACTCAACAGGATAATCCGTTTTCAAACTGGGTTTTCCTTTCAATTCAAACTCTAATACTCCATGATCTAGTAGAAGTTGGACTCGACGTTTGAAGGTAGAACAATTCTCAATAGAATGTCCTTGAATTCCAGTATGATATTCACAACGAACGTTGACGTCATACCAACTTGGATATGGAGGTTGCAAAGGTTTCACATAATATGGGGCCACTTCTCAGGCTTCTAACAATTCATCATACAATTCCTTATATGATATTGGGATGGAATCTCAATGAGAGTCACCTCTCAACTTGGGTTGAACTGGAGTTTCCAGTTTTATTTTCCCTGATGTTGGGAGTAGTCTATCAAACACCAACGAGTTTTGACTGCATGTCTTCTTTTCATCCTTCTGAACTTCTATAGTTGCCACTATTTCCTTGGCATTTCCAAACAACTTGTTGATACGAACAATGATTGTGCGTGATTTCTCATACTGACTAGAATCAACAGGTTCTAAAGTAGTCCCTTGCGTATCTGACACCTCGAGATTGTTTTCATTGAGATCTTTCTTTTCTTTTGTAGAAGTCTCTCTTCCTTTGGACAAAACATCTATTTTATCCATCATCTTGGACATTTGCTCTTTTATCTCTCTTATCTCCTTGTGCTCTCCGTCAGACATATGATCTTTATGCGCGTAACTATCCACTATTTTCGAAGTTTTCTTAGGATGCCATTTCTTGACTGTGTTATAGTTTGTTTGATCACGAAACCCCTTGTCCGTCATTAAAACTTTTTACTATGATGACCACTCACAAATCAACACCCTTTGAATATGTCATGATCATGCAATGCGGACAAAGAGAAAAAACAATATAGAAACAAGTTAGTACAAATGAGATAACAAAATGACAAAAAGCAACAATAACAAAATAAATAAATTAATGCTAATAAGAATGCAAATGCACAAGGTGTTAATTCTAAAAGTGACCACCATAGAACAACCTTCATTTAGACAACAAGAATTCAGTACACCATATAGTCAAAATATAAATGTGATTCTTCATTTCTTCATTTCCTTGAGTCGTACTCTTCATGGAATCTAATATTGCACTCAAAGTTGTCGGCGTACTTTATCACCTTTGATAACGCCATATGTCTTTAAATTGAATCTTGAGGTCTCAATTTTTATCTTCAATACGAAGTGATTTCATGTCTTTCTGAAGGGAATTCTCATCCTTGGTATAATTGTATCTATCTCTTGAGTCAACATCTTGGCCTTTTCCCTATTAAAGGAAGTCTTCAATCAGCTTGATTTCTTCATTCAGCGGATATCATTCTTCATGATCAGTCGAACATCTTTGGATCTCTCGGTTTTGACTACATGGTTGAGAATTTCTTGTCTCAATATGTCTAGCCTTATCATTAGTCAATCACTTGCGAATTAACACCTTGTGATGACATGAAGATGTGAATGCAATAAAATCAAAATAAAATAGACATAGGACAAAAATGGGTTAGTACACATAATATAAACAACAAAATAATAAGTACCATAAACATCAAATAAAACCTACCCTCACATGCTGGCTACCCAATCATACTTTAGTTAATCCTACCCAACATGATATCTACCCCATACTTTGTCATTCACAAAAAATCCTAACCGCATGATATCTAATTCGCATGCTTGTTCGAGAAAAATAAACCTAACCACATGATTTCTAGTTTGCATACATTTATTCAAAAAGCAAAATTGAATGACTCAAAAAGCTTTTCCTTGTGTACCCTCCTCACATGACTCTTAAGGTTCGGGTTAGGCTCGACCTAAATTCAGGCTCTATGTTCACCATATGTTGGGTTCAGTTCTAAAGTAATAGGTTCTCGAATTGTCCTTGTCGGTGCCCCATTGGGCTACCGAACCCTCAATCCTGGCCCATCACAAGCTTTAGGGGATCGAGTTCAATTTCGAGGGAACACACCTCCTTATGTCCATACGGAGGTGAATACCATCACGAGGACCATAAGGCGTGAGCTCCAGGAGCAATCAACTATCCCATACGGATGTAAAAACCACACGAGGGCATAGTCTCTCACTCCTACTTAATTAGGACGGAGCGGGGTTTTGGCTCATGTTATGATAATGCAGCTGTGCAGTGTGTGAGGAAAAGCGAAAAAACAAACAATAAAAACACTCAAAATCAATTCCCAAAACACACAATTATTCTGAAACCATTAGCAAACAGATCAGTACAACTATTTAATTGTTAATCAAATTAAATTAAAAAACCAAAATACAAACAAAACTTATTAAAAACCAAACAAGTGATCAAAAACCAAATTAAAATGAATTTATAACTTTTAATTGCAAAGACAATTAATTAATCGACTATCGACCTGACACTCTAAAAAAAAAGGTCCCCAGCAGAGTCACTAAGCTGTCGAAACGATTTTTTTCTTAAATGTGAGATTTTGAAAACCACATTAATTTTTAAGTTACCTCTTTCTAATTTAAAAACAAATGCGATTTAAAAGGCCTCTCGTTTCAAAAAATTTTGAATTTCCTTTACAATCGAAAAATACGGTTCAAAGAGTCGCCACCAATCCTTGATTAGGGTGTGATTGGGCACCCAAAAATGTTTTGTCATTTTAAATAAAAAATTAATTTAAATTAAAACAACAAATTGTGGTTTATGTTACCAAAAAAATAAGTTCGGGAGTCGGTTACGTGTGGGGAATGATTAACACCCCCACAACACCCTAAATCGGTACCTAATCGATTAGTTAACGTCTTTGCATTAAACTTTACAAATTCGAACTTAATTTGATTTTTGATCCCATAAAACAAAGATGTAAATTTAAAAACATTCAAAAGCACTCAAATAAATTAAATTAATATTATCGAGTCGTTTTAGAAAGATAAAGAGTGTTCGATTATTTACAAATATCGAGATCAGATCTTAAAAGCTATAACAATCTTTTCTCGATAAATTTAAATAAATGAACACTTCATTTTCTTTCATTCCCAAATTTTAGGTGAAGAATCAATTTTTAGGTTTCACTTTCGGGATATACTTTTATTTTAAAATTATTAAAAGCGGATCTCAAATGCGTATGACAACCCACTTAAAACAATTTTAAATTAAAAGTGTATTACCCTTAATCCAATTGTGTAATATGTCGAGTTATGCACGTGAGGATGTCATATAAATTGTTCAAAAAGGATGTCATGCCAAAAATGAATTAAACAAAATTAAAAATATCACACAACGTGACATACAAAAAATTATATACGTATATTTTAATTAAAAGTCATAGATTATGCATACTAACCTATAATGTACAAATGTGATTCAAATAAAAACATGGCATGTTGAACTATAAATTTTATATATATTAAAAATGACTAAATTAAATAAATGTATAATTAAACATACTAATTGAAAATAAACCAAAGACTTAAATAAAAAACACACATAAATATAGATGATTTAACATAAATATCTAAAAAATTACAACTAAAACTAAAATTGGGAAAACAACGAAATCAGGAAAATTACAAAATGACAAGATTTAAAAGCAGTCCTTGTAGGTGACTAAAGTGCAAATTAAAGCTAAACCTATGAGGACTAAACTATAATTTACCCTAGAGTTGTAATATATATACTACTTCAAATATTAAACCTAACTTAAACTGAAACTATCTCAGCCACATCTCATAACCGGAACCACTACTCCGACCACCCAACTATTTCTAGTCACCCATACATTCGAAACTTCATAACACCAACGGATATATTAGTCAAAATTTTCGTATCTGTGGTAAAATGCTAAAAGCATCGTGTTGTTTACTCCACATTGTTAATTCTAAGGTGTATTAAACAATTAAAACAATAGCAATAAAGAATTAATGAGAATACAGTACAGTGAATTGTTTTTTGCGAGCATTCATGGCTCACCAACTGCACCCTTTTCAACCATTCATAACCCAACACACATATATTAAAGGGGATAATATCACAATTTGACCAAGAAAATCAAATAAAGAAAGCTAGTGCACATAAGTGCAACCCCTCATAGAATTGTAGTCTCTAAAACACCATGGGTTTGAGAAAGCATATGACCAGCAGTGAGATGGAAGAAAATGAAACTAATTGTATGAGAAACCTAGAATTTTACGGCTTTAAAATGCTGCTCCCAACCTTGGATTTGCTGATGTGTTCCCCCTCTTCGAAAAATGGTCTCTCTGTCATATAATGGCTCACTCTCCTCTACGTTTTTTTTTCTTCTAGTTCCCCTCCTGATCTCCTAGTTTCTGATGGTTAATTCCCAATAAAAACTGAACCTCTTTTCCATTTCCTCCTGCGATTATGGACCCCAATCTTATTAGTAACTTCTCATTCATGCTTGTTAACTCCCCATAACCGTCTTTATTTTTCAGGGAATTCTCACGTGGAACAGAGGCTGCTCTACTGGATCCTTGGACTTGAATTGGGTCTTCAATTGTCTTGGGTACGAGTTGGGTCGCAAGTAATTTTCTATAAGCCCGGACAAAATAAGCATCTACACTCGCGAAATAGCGGTTTCGCCGCCATCTGAGTTACCCGCTACGCCCGCAATAACGTCCGCGAAAGCCACAATCACGATAAACTGGAAATGATCGAAAACGCGACCGCGATTTTAAACCCTGCTCTAGTCTACACCCGTGTCGGATACATGCTTCAAAAGAAGGAAAGGTTTCATTCAGATTTAAATTGCTTCTTTCTAAAGTCTTAACTATTCAAGCAATCTACAGGCTACAGCCCCTTGTAAAACAGAAGTTAATGCTCAAGTTTCATGTCCTTGACAAGCGAAATAATAACAACAATTTTCACCATCTGACGTGTCCAGTTTTTTTTTTTCTTATTGTTTTTTCAAGCCAAGAACATTTTGCCAGAGAGAATCAGACAAGGGTTAGGAGCAAACCGGTTTAACTTCTCCATTCCATATGATGTGAACAGCCAAGAATCCGATAACAGACGGTACAATATACAAAAGTGCAGGCTGATAAGTGAAAAGGAGCATGAAAATTGTCACGATACAGGATGAGTGCATGTCTACAGGATAAAGCTACATGTTCCATAACAAGATCAGATAAAACAGAAGATCAAAAATAGTTAAACTGTGCAGTTTGAAGCCAGTTCATGACAACAATTGTAAGGACCAAGCCCACCGTGTATCCCAAAAATGTGCTCTTAAAATATCGGCTCACGTTCCCCCTAGACACATCAAATCTTAATGCTAGTGCTACAAAAACACCTACAAGGGAGAAATAAATCAATATATAAAAAAAACAAAAAAAAACATTGATCACACAAGTATTCTTCTTCTCATAGACACTTATATCTAAGCAAAATGTTCATATTTCATTTAAGAACAAATGGTCTCAGGAAAACACCAGCAGCTGAGACTAATGCTACCCAGGAACATTTTGAAAATTTTAGTTCAAGCATTTAAAATTTTGAGTAGACCCCCTCAGCTTGTTTTGTCGAGATCCGCCACCGCACTCGAGGCCTTAGATCTCAAAGCATATAAGTAAAACAGTTATCAATACAAAGATGCAAGACCTCTTAGATACGAAGCAAGATACAATTAGGAAAGGAAAAAGTAGTTTCATTTTCTTTTGTTTCAACATTCAAAATCATGGATTACTTCTTTTAGTTAGAATAACAGCTCATATCATAACAGAAGCATGCTTTAGACACCAACTAAAATGGATTTCAAACATACCAGGAATGACAATGTCACCGAGTCCAAGCATGGAAAATGGTCGGGCAGAGTCAGCTGTAGGGAACAAAAGCTGCAGGAAAATATCAAAGCAATAAGAACTTACAATGGTAACAAATTTACAATAGTGCATGAAAAATGTAAAGTACATATATCGAAACAAGAACTAACCAGGCTAAGTATTCCAGATGGAAGGGGGTGAACTGACCTTTATTGGAGCATCAAAAGACTTTGCAAAGCTAACCATAACAGGAGTGAAAAATACCCAGAAAATATCATATACAAAAAGCCCAGCCTGCAATGCATATAGATGGGAGAAAAATCAGAGGAAAGAAAACATGGTTGAAAAAGAGAAGGCAAAATTAAGGTCAAATAGCAGACTAACAAAATTGTAATTTGTCTAATCAGCCAAAGAAAACAATAAGCAGCTATAGTAAAGTCATTTGATTATGTCATGATTGATCTGCTTAATAGTACATGGCTAAGGTGAAGTTGTTTGATTCAGATCATGATAAGCTAAACACAAGCAAAACATTGCTACATTAAAAAAAATAATATTAGGCGTTAACTTGCGCCAGTGACGGGGAATAGCACATAAAAATCACTAATCCAATTTCTCACCAATAGAATGACACCAGTCTTAAACGATCCAAGGGAAAGCATTTCAATTCCCTAACAAAACCAACAATTGAAATTCAAACCATGGAGCAAACAAATAAGCACTTTCATAAAATTATTAAAAGATTAAGGAAAATAATACTTTAACCATCATTGAACCAGTTCAGTAAGCCCTAACCAAAAGATTGACAGACAGAAACTTCCATATTACAGGCTAGAATACTGACTAGAATATACCCGATAATATTGATTAGTCTAGGTCACATTGCAAAATCAATGAGACCCAGAATGTTATTAGCCAACCAATGCTTCTGCAAAGCATACCATGCACAGAAAAAAGTTCCAGAGATTGCAGCTATGATCTGAGATCTTGTGAACTCAATCTCAAAAGCTGTTTAAGAAAAGTGTCAGGAAAAATATCATTCTGCATAATGCAATCAAGCTAATGTTAACTAGATCAAATAAGAATTCTACGGAGTCAATGACAGACACAACTAAATACAGATGTACTCAACTTTAAGCAGGAAAAGGTTATACCACTCCAGCAGGGAACTAAGACCTAAAACTCAAATTATCAACAGAATTCGGTATTCAAACTATTCCAGTGGGCAGACCTGGCAACTTTATATAGCATAACTGCATAAGAACCAGAATGCTCACAAATTGCAAAAGGAATGTACCGTACTAAAAGGTATCATAAGAATCGAAGATTTACTCCATTTTGGATTTATGAAATTCTAAGTGCAAATCCTTGAAAGAAAGTTGAGAAGAATATTTGAAGAAACTAACAAATTATAAAAAAACCAGAAAATTTTAATGCACCTAGCAGGCTAGTATACTTCTACAGAAAGGAAAAAAATGTCCAATCTCCATATAACTTCCCCACACAAGAAACTAATCCAAAGAAATTTCCAGGAGAAAGAAATGACAATAACAAAAAGCACTGAATGAGGAAGAAACACACAAGAATAAAAACGTCAATCCCATTCAAAAACTAATCAAATTCTCTTATAGATAAAAAGTGAAGGGAAAATGCCAAATGATAAAGTCTTCATTCCAATGCTTTGGCAAGAAGCTTTTTATGGTAGGCAGTATTGTACTATTGTTGCCCTGAGATTGATGGCAGAAAGAATAAATGAGATAATGGCATCAGGTGAACTGGTTGTGTAAAAGTAAATCAGTAGTAGCAAACCCATATGAAAAATGCATACGAGAGAGCGATGATTCCAAACACAAAGAAGTAGCCTGTCAATACTGCATTAACCAAGTCCTTTGATACGAACTTGAACAGTAAGAAAAATGATAACAGCATTGCACTCCCAACAAATGGAAAACGCATAGCATGCTCATTAGACATTGTTTCCAGTATGATAGATATGACATTGTTAGTTAATTCTGATCAAGGTCCTTAAAGAAAAAACAAGAAAACACCAAAATCAATTTACTCACCGCTGGCGGAGTTGGCTTGACAGACCTATAGCAACCCACGTATACTGCCAGACATGCAGTCAAAACAACATTCAAGTTGGGCTCTACATTCACAATAAGCGGTGCCATTGTCAACCCTGCACTTAGCAAATCATGAATGCTACATTAAAATAAGTCCAGCCTCTTGAATCATGGAAATATACCATGCATTTGCATTCACAAAGATCTCATATCTGACAGCGACTTATGTTGCATTCATTTCCCTAAAAGAATCAGCCACAAGACATATATCCGTTTTTTTCACCATAATAACAAGAAAGATTCATGATGTGAGAACTCAAATATTTTGAAGGATAAAATAATAATGCTTTGGACTTAATAACATGAGATACGCAATGCAAAGTACATACATTTTATCATTGGTTATGATTTTTTTTTTATAGAAATGGGAGGTCTCATTAAAGCCCCCTTCATGTCCGAAGAAATACACGAGGGTATTCTACGAACATAGGAAGGAGGAAAAGAGTACCTCAATTTTATTAATAACCCAAAATAAAATCAAAGATTTGGTTATGATAAATACTTTTGGTTCATAAATCTAAAAAGAAAAAGGAAGTAGAGAACAACATTGTATTTATCTAAAATATACAAATGGTAAAAGAAAATTCTACCTTATAAAACTAAATCTATGCACCTTATTACTTCTAAATTCTTCAAAATATTAGTTTTTACGTCCAAAGCAACAATCAAAAAGAGCCTAAAATTTATTTAAAGTCCTTTCACTTTTTCAAAGGAAATAACTTTTTTTACCTTATAAAACTAAATCTATGCATCTTATTATTTCTAAATTCTTCAAAATATTAGTTTTTATGTCCAAAGCAATAACCAAAAAGAGCCTAAAATTTATTTAAAGTCCTTTAACTTTTTCAAAGGCTATAATAACTTTTTTGAAGAAAAAATCCCTTAAACTTCATCAATTTATGTCTTGACTTAGGTATGTAACACCCCAATTTAGGGGTCAAATTTTAATTTTTAAAACTTATAGTCAGTTTTAGGAAGTTGCAGGGAATTCGGGGGCTTAGCCCTAAATTTGGTCATTTTCTATTAGCAATGAAAATTAAATCCCCCTTGTCTAGCTATATAACCCATGAACCCCAAACCCAATCCCTAAACTAGCCACTTCTCCTCGTCAAACCACCTTGTTCCGGTCATCGTTACCTTATACTAATCCTACAACCATGACCGGTGACCTTCTGTGACCATAACCCCTCATTTTCCTCTTTGAGATCGACCACTGATCTTCGTAATTTAAGTCAAAGAGGTATCGCCGAAACCCTCATTTCTCCGTTTGATTTTTCGTGATTCTAGTCGCCTCGACCATTGTCGTGTCTCACTGCCCCCAACATTGTGTTCCCCAGCCAGTTTCGATCAAAACCCGACATGGTTTGTCGCCTATCATCGCCGTTTTCGTCGAACGCCATTGTGGGTAAGGGTTTCAGTCTTTTTTCTTTTATTTCAAATGGATTGTGGTTGATGTTTGAGTTGATTATGGCTTGATATGTTGTGTTGATGCTCCAGGAAGAATCGGTCGACCACCCCTAGGCTGTCGTCGTCGCGTGGGCTTTCTGTCCTAGAAACATTCTAGAACCGGTACAGCAGGTTTGGACCACCCCAAACAGGTCAACCTAGTCGAACCGGGTCTGTTTGACCCGACCGAGTCAACTCGGTCCAAGTCAACTAGTTGAATTGACTTTGACCCAAAAAGCCAACTTTTTTGAAAATGTCTTATTTTATGTTTTTCGACGTCCTCGAACTTTAATTCAACGCCCAATAATTCCTCGGATACATAGCAACCAAATTTACGTCAAAAACTGAACTTAATCGGAAAACCAAATTTGATTCTGAAGATAAATCACTGAAATTATGAAATTACCAAAAATAACCCTATAGGGTAAAATTATGAAAATGCCCTTGTACTGTAAAAGACCAAGACTTCCCCTGATGGTGAAGAATAATCTAGAAAGGACATACTTGATCAATTATCATAAAAAGTGAATATTGTTTGGATTGAACGAAATTACTGAAATGTCCTTGAGCTTCGTAATAACTATAATATCCTACAATGATCAAAGAAACATATACACTAAACTCTAAAGGAACTAGAATACTTGAAGTAATGTCACTGACAGGTTTGAATGAAATGACGATGATGCTTAAAGTGTAAAAAGCACAATGGATGACTATGATAATGGAGACGACCTAAGAACTCATATCTTGATCCACTTGAACCTTGGAATCATCGATTTAATTTCCAGAGCTATATTAGAATGCCCCTGAAGTGTAAAATGACCCAAAGAATGTCTAAGCACTGGAATAACTAAATACCCTTCAGCTCTGAAATGAATAAATCAACCTCAAATACCAAATGACCTAAAATTTCTATTTTTTGAGATAACACCCAGAGACTGAATTATCGAAGGTACTTTACACGTCTGAATTTCTTTAAATGACTAAATTATATGACCAAGTAGAACTGAATGGAAGAACTGTATGTATCCAAATTTTGGAAATGATGGAATTACTATGGAAACTTCGAAGTGATCGGGATAGACTTAACTACTAAATGACCTAAGTACCTTCAAAGACCTAGAATTAAATGAATAACTCATACAAGTGTGGAAACATTGATAAACTTATATATTGTACAACCCTCAAGGGTTTTAAACCCCGGATCAAGCACGTCGACATTTATTGATATCGTTGTAATACAGAAAAGAAATAAATACCACTGGAATACCTATTTGTCTCCTCAAGAACTGATCAAGGATGATTCTGATATTGATCAGATCCATTGACGCATTTAGTAATAAAAGTGAATAATAATGAAGTATCACAGTCTGAATGATTGACAAGTATTGTAGTGTTGGGATTATTGGTTCAATTGGACTCAAAATCTCGATAATTCAATACATAATCCTGAATACCCCTGATTGTTTGAGTAATGGAATCACTCTCAGTAAATCTGAATCTAGAATTATATTGATATAAAGGTTCCTAAACACATGTCTGATGCACCTAAACCATAAAGAGGTCCTAAAGTATCAACTTTAAATGTTGAATTAGATCCATTAGTAATTGATCCCTTTCAATAGGATCTCATTCCTGAAATCCGATCAAATTACATAATTTTCATGTTTTCCATTCCTGACAACTACCAAGTGCCTCTGAAAAATACTTGGATTCTCTAGTGTGTTCCCTATGTGCCACCCGACTATTTTATTTGATTTGAAATATGTTTCGCTGAAAATTATGATTTATTGGCTGATGGTTTAGGGACTATGATTGAATGATACATGATATTGGAATATTTATTTTCACTAGAAAATATGATTTTGCTGAATATGGATCATGAAAATTACTGTTCATTATGCGATATGTTTTATGTAAACATTTTCTTTAGGTAGGATGGAGAATGGAGGTTCAGCTTTGATCAAGCTGGTAAATCCTTACGGACCTAAGGCGACCCTTGGGTAGGCTCTACGACCCCGAGTTCTTTCTTGGGTAGGCCCCGTTGCCCAAGAACTTTCTTAGGTAGGCTCTCAGGCCCCAAGATGTTCCCTTAGCTTGGCTCCTTATATCTAATGGGTATAAGGTAAGCCCTTTGGATGCGGTTATGGGGAACTTCATAATAGTGTTCAGTTGGAGGGTTCTATTGTGGTTTTGAAAGTATGTTTTAAACGGCTACTATTTTAAAAAGATACATATCTTTTTATTTGTT